ATTTCGGCGCTATCACGCCTGGTATTAAACGATAATGCGACCTAATTCAAAATCATTTATTCCAACTAAACCATAAACAGCTATTTTTGAAACGTCAAAATACAATTTAGTCTATCAGTCACTTCCTCTGTGGAGCTCGGTGCTCTTTCCAAAGTGTAAATTCGAATAGAGAAGAACGAGCAAGAAACTCCATGTTTGATTGAACACGCTAATCTTCAGAAAATTACTGGTATGAATTGAACAATTCTTTTTATGTCGGATAGTCCATTTATCGAGGAGGAAAAATGTTGTAAAAAGTTCAGTTCCGGTTTTAAATATGAGATACAATGCGGCATTGAAGCAAGTTGTACCTAATGTTGATTTACAACATGTGAAAAATACAAAATAATGCAGTTCATTGAACATTTTTATTGTTTACCTATATACCCAGGTTAAAGTAAATAGAATACTTCAAATAGAGTAGGTATTTAGTCTGAAAACACCTGCAACACAGGCCGGTTCATTTTAAAATCAAATCAGTTTTGGCAACACACGCGCTGTGTTGTGCCAACCTGCGGTCCTCTGCCTTTCAAACTCTGTGGATTCGAACTGGCACTGACGCCGTTTGTATTTCAAACGAGATTTTTATTTAAAATTGGAATGCTTCTTTTTTTTTGTAAGGAAAAAAATATATATTTTTTGTTTTTGGAACACCAATTTTAAAATAATTATAAAACAATCTAGACTTCAATGACATTTTATAAAAAAAAGATCTTGTTTTTTTTGGAACGTTAAATTTGAAATTAATTACAGAATAATCTATTATCAATTTAATATTTGAGCTTTCCGAGAACATGTAGAACGATTCTATTAAATTGTTTTCCACCAAAATTCTTTGAAGTCAGGCTGTGGTAGGTTCTTATAAAGAAAATAATTGGTAAAAATTACGAAGAATTACGTCTGTCAACTTTTTATTGGTAATTACCATTTTGTTATTATATTTTGTTCTAATCTTAAAAGTATTACAACTTTTAAATATCGAGGTATAATTAAATTTAAATTAAGAGGAATCATATTAATTTAGAAATAGCGTAGATAATCATTTACTAATTTTTCTTTTCATTTACAATTAGAAAACATCAAGTACCAATAGAATATTATCTCTAGTAGGACATTACGCCAATGCGACATCGCGTGGTATCCACGCAATTCCGAGTTTGCGCACATCCATCGCATTCCAGCTTAGCATTGTTCACAAACCATTCAGAATATTGCCAGCAATGTATTTCAAAACTTCAACGCAGTCGAGGCGGCGGGATAGTTGTTGCTTGGAAATCGGTGGATGGTATTTTGATTTTCATTTATGCAGTGGATTGAAGTTTTTTGATGTGCATTTTTTCGTTATGAGTAGTTTGTTATTAGAGAAAAATGACAAAAATGTTGTTGTTATCGATTGACATTTGATTGGTGAGCAAGGAATCTCTAGTTCGATACCCAGGTCATGTTAAGTTATAAGTAACACAATTGTATGTATTTTTTCGATTGTTCAGAATTTGTTTTTGGTAGACAAACATTATGTATTGTATGTATCGATAGGCTCATCATCATTTACTTGTAAAATGTTATTATTATCAGCCTATAAGTGTCCGCTCTTGAAGGGCCTCTTTTCACACGAAGAAGGTTAAAGCATTAGGGGATTTTAACGATAAAACGTGGAGGGTATATTTTATCATTGTTTTTTTATGTTATAGGTCGGCAAACGAGCAGATGGATTACCTGGTGGTAAGCAATCAGCTCTGTCCAATGTCCCTCGTAATACTAAAGGTGTTAATACAAGTGCGTTGCCGACCTCTTGTGGGTTATAAGGAATTTAAGGATTGTGGATTTGAGGATTGAAGATGGGAGGGGGAGGGGCGGAAGGATTGGGCCTCCGGTAACCTCACTCATACGGCGAAACACAACGTAAATGTTATTTCCAGCCGGTTTTCCGTGCGGCCGTGGTATCACTCCGGTCGAGCCGAACCATTCGTGCCCAAGCATGGCTCTCCCATACCTATGCTCGATTATGGACTAGGAATAAAAGATTGTTTCTTGTAAATAATTATTTTTATTTACATACTTTTCCAAGATAGATAAGAACAAAGCGCTACAAACCAAAGATACAGTGCTACGTGGCAGAACTATTTAGAAATAAACTGAAAAATAGCCAGTGTTAGATTATATTGATAATGATTCAATATTTTTATTATACATATAGACATATATATAACTTCACACGTTTTGTGATCGTCCAACCAAAAACATAATCTTGATACTCCAAATACGAAATGACAGACAATTAAAACCAAACCATACCCACCATAACATTTAAAAAAAAAACTACAATACATCACTGTCCATCCCCACTCGAGATAACGTCATACCATTAAACTCCAGCGGAGCTCATTACAAAAAAGCGCTTTAAGCAAATAATACCGCTGTACAGCAAAAAGCTGGAAGTTTTAGGTCAACAGTTACTCTAACTGCGATACGAGTAACAAGTTGTTATTGTTGTTATATTAGTGTTGTTTATATAAGGGATGGTGTACATGTGTATGTTAAATAATAATTTTCGAGTATTAGAACAAAAACTCATACCCATATGCTCAGACTTTTCATGAGTTTTCCAAACATCTTGTGCCCTAAAAATAAGTTGCCAGTATGGTAAAGTAGAATAAATATTATCCAGCGTTAAAACGAATCACATTAGCAGCCTATAAGTGGCCACTGCTGTGCAAAGATCTCTTTTCACACGAAAAATGTTTGAATATTAAGGGAGAGCCATGCTTCGTCACAAATGGGCTGGCTCAACTGGAGTGATACCACGACCTTGCAGTGTTATGTTCTACCCTATAAGTGAGTTTACTGAATGCCCAATACTTTGTACGCTTTGTTTGTGGCCCAACATTTGGTTTGGCGGTTTAACACATTCAGTGCCCCCGACGCGTATGTGCGTGCGAGGAAACGCACATACGCGTCGGGGGCACTGAATGTGTTAATAAATCACTATATTTAGACTTTAAATGCATTTCCCAAACGCCTTGCATATGTATTGAAGGGGTGTCAGTAAGAGTACTTACTTACATTTTCTCTTCCTCTTCCTCTCGCCTCACTTTGGGCAAAAGAAGTCACTCGACAATGATACTTTCTCAAAAAAATAATTGCTAGTACATAGGTACATCTATTTATATAGCATCGTTCATATTGTAATTATTTTGATATCAAAAATGACAAGTTTACGGGACAGTAAAAAACGATACTGGAAAAATCGATTTACTGGAATCTTTTCGGTAGCGACCAAAATTATCTAAGTAATATATTTTTTTCGAAAGAACAATTTGCAATAATATCTACGACGACAGGCAGCGGTGCCATAATGGCACCGCTGCCTGTCGTCGTAGATACGTGCAGGTCTCAACATCTAAACTTGACTAAACTTGTAACTGTATTCGCACAATTCGAATGTTTTTAAATAATATTCGAATAACCTGCACGATCATTGTACGCCTAGCTTTACCTCACATGTAGAACTGCAAAATTTACGTAGTTAAGGAAATTTAATCCCAGTAAAACAAAGTTAAAATAAAGGACAATTGACACAGCAACCAGAATTTTACTGGCGTAGCAAAGTTTTAACCAACAGACATACTCGATTGCATATAATTAAACATAAATTGGGGCGAATACTCGAGAGTAAGGCGCATACCACAGACGGGGCCTTTTAGGACTGATGTTCAGCAGGGGTTGCGGGATAAGCGCAATGAGGCACGGCGGCCCAGAGCAGGAGAAGGAATGGGGGTTTGTAGTCAGTAAGAATCTGACACTGCCTACCGCTCGACCCTGCGCGGGAGAAGTCAATAGATGATTTTCCCCTAACAAAAAAGGGGGCGAATAGATACACAAAAATGGTTAAAAGATATTGGCGAATTTTCCTAGTATTTATCCAACCCTGTTCTGCATCTATTCAACCCTCGAATTCCACTCACCCTCACTCACAAAAAATATATGTGAAAGGGATAATGTCATTAAGTTTTAGATGAATGCGTCAACTTATTATTTTATAGATTAGAATAAATGATGAATTTTCGTGATTTGATACTTTTTTATTTTTGTATATATGTATAAATTAATCATGTATGTATCATCTAAAATGTATCCACGTGACTACTAAAAGAGTCATGGTGTCATAATCTTATACTTTTATTTAATAATTTTGTATTTGACTGCACTGTTTGCGCAATGGCTGATATGCAACGGGTCGCGGGTTCGATTCCCGCACGGAACAACACTTTAACAATTTAACTAGCGAAAAGGGAATTTCACTCGAATTTATTTTTTAAATAAATAATTTAAATAATTTTTATTCACAAAGAAAGAGACTACCTGAAAAATGCCAAACTACTACAAGGTTTTACTGTCTTTATTCGATATCGTTAGAGAAGGAGTCATTTGATGATTTTTCCCAAAAAAGAAATCAATTTTTCCTAAGTAAGCAACTACCAGGTTCGCATGAACAGTTCTGTACTGTTTATGGGAGCCTGGTATTGCCTAGACTACATGGCTCCTTGCGTGACATAAACAAGTACACGTATAAGTACCTAGTGTTGTATGAAGTGTTGGCTCAATACAGCGTAACAAAGTGTGGGACCTTTGCCTTTGACCAGTAATATTGGTGTGAAGCGCACGACACAAGGAGTCATTGGAGCAGGAGCTTTGTCCACACGCAGTCGACTGGCACGTGTGTAGAGCTAGGAATGTTTAGAAGGGTACAATTTTAGGAAGTTTTTGGTCAGTTTTAATTTTTTCACGCCGTCATTAATGTTGCCTAGAAATAGTAATACAATTATCCACAATGAAACAAATACTTTGTCACCCGAGCGTATGGCGCGTAGCGTTCCGCGCGCGCCTCAAAGAACCTATAGACCACTACAGACGGGGCCCTACAGGGTTGATGTTCACCCAGGGGTTGCGGTGTAAGCGCAATGTGGCATCGCGGCCTCGGCCCAAAGCAGGAGAAGGAACGGGTGGGTTTTTAGTAAGAGTCTGACACTCTCTCGTCTTATCCTGGGCGGGAAAAGTCATTTGATGACAATGACGATTCCCCTGACAAAAAAAAAATTCTTTCTCAAATACAATGACTACAAGTCATATCTAAATTTATTAAAAATAACGACTCACCTACTTGAATTAACAGAGAAAAGCGCTAGGTACAAGTTTCAAGTCACAACGGGACTCTTATTCATGAGCAGCGACGTCGCGCAGCTGACTGAAGAGCCCCGTTAGGACTGAGTTGATTTGTTAAAACTGAGTTAATTAACTTATAAATTTAGTATGTCTCACTATAGTTACTATGTAAATAACATCGTTGTTGAGGAACAATTTTATCATCGAATTTACCGTTTAACATCTGCCAAACATTCACAAACTGTAAGGGACCATTTTCTTTTTATTTCACTGCAAATCCACACCAATCTCGATTATCCTAATCAGTAAATTCTTATTTACTGTAACATATTGTTCAGTGGCGGTCCCACGCTGAAAATTTGCCCGACAAGTGGTAATAGGTACGCTCTTTATCACTTGGGGCCTAATATCGCAACGAAGTCCGGAATGACTAAATCTTTTTGGAAATAAACGACGAAGTATCTGGTGTTTGGTAAAATAAATATTTTACTTTTAAAATTTATATATGAATTTAGTAATTTAGTGAATGAATGGTAATTTGATATACGATTTAGTATTTAAAAACATATAATTATATTTAAAGATCGACGTCGCACTGAAAAGTTCCGTTGTGACTAGTTTGTAAAGCTTTTCTTAGTTACTTTAAGTGAGCTCTTTTGCCGACCATACAAAAAAAACTACATTTTCCATACTTCGCATCAGCATTTAATCATTTTCCTGATATTATATATACATATATATATATTTTTAAGTGATAAGTCGGAAAACGCGCATACAGATTACCTGATGGAAAGCAATCAGCGCCGCCCATGGACACCCGCAACAAAGGAGAAGCTACGAGCCCGTTGCCGACCTTTTGGGGATTAAGGATTTGGAGATTTTGAGATTGGGAAGGGCACGGATTGTAAACAAACCAATTTTTAAATTACTAATAAAAATCACTAGTAAATATAACCTCTTTTATTTTGGGCTAACGTGATCTTTCTACACATTCCTAAGTCTGTGCCATCAAGGGAGCACACGATCAGTGTCTAGCGAGGTGGAAGCGGAAATAGTGCCCGTTTGATGCACCCACAAAGCCTCTCTGAAAGCCCCGCTCAAACCTTTTACGTATCACAATCGCTTTTCATAACGACACCTCCGCGGTTTTTCAGTTTCACCCGAATTTCAGTAGAGGCTTAAAAGAAAACGGATTATTCATAACGTACGAATTGTTCGTTTGGCATTGATGTGTGGTTTTAAAAAGTGCTTTTGAAAGTTTGTTGTTTATGATTGTGTGCTGTGTGATCCTGGTCCTGGTGATTTATAGTAGAAGTAAAAGCATGCAGCTCCATTATCGAGTTAAAAGTATCAGGTGGTATGTTTTTAAATTTGGAAAACAGTTCTGAGTAGTTTATTTTTGTCGTAGGTCGGCAGACGTTGGTGGTAGACAATCAGCGCCGCCCATAGACACTCGTAACACCAAAGGAATTTCTACAAGTTTGTTGCCGGCCTATTGTGGGTTATAAGGGGTCATCTCATCAAGGAGGATAGATCCTCAAATCCCCTATTGTGGGTTATAAGGGGTCATCTCATCAAGGATCTATCCTCAAATCCCCTATTGTGGGTTATAAGGGGTCATCTCATCAAGGATCTATCCTCAAATCCCCTATTGTGGGTTATAAGGGGTCATCTCATCAAGGATCTATCCTCAAATCCCCTATTGTGGGTTATAAGGGGTCATCTCATCAAGGATCTATCCTCAAATCCCCTATTGTGGGTTATAAGGGGTCATCTCATCAAGGATCTATCCTCAAATCCCCTATTGTGGGTTATAAGGGGTCATCTCATCAAGGATCTATCCTCAAATCCCCTATTTTTAGTTTTTTACCATCTCCCGATCCTGATTTTTTACCATCCTCTAGGGATGGGAGGAATGATTGAGCCTCTGGTAACGTCACTCACACACTTCGAAACGCAAAGTAAGTGTTGTTTCACACTAGTTTTCTGTAAGGCTGTGGTATCACTCCGCTCGAGCCTGCCCATTCGAGCTGAATCACGATGGCGCTCTCAGACTTATTTTCTTAGCTTAAGTCCTTGTGATTTTAAAAAACCTTTCATGGAAATGACCTTTTTTATAATTGAAATCTTAATTTCGAAGTTCAGGAACACTTAATAAATTCAATTGGAAGACTATAGAAAAAGTTTTTAATTCATAAATTCTTATGATTAACTAATGTAAGAGTTTCCCCAGTCAGGTCTCGAACTGGGTACAAGTAAGTTTGAAAGGCCCATATTTCAGCGTGAAAAAGGCGTGAAAAAGTTAAAAGGACCGACTGAGTGAACGATTTCGTTCAATGGTTACGCTTTAAGGGAGGAGCGAGATGCGGTTATGTTCATTTTTTTGTTTGTTTTCCGTCGAATCTACATTTTAAAACGAGCTTTGTGCTAGATCGACGGGCAATACGGTAGTTCCCAACTAGTAGAATAGTCAAAAACGCTATGAATACAATGCTAGAAAAAATCTATAAGTAATTAGGTAGGCTATGTATGATTATATTTTAAAAAGTCAATGTATTAAAGTTATTTCAAATATTATTATTATTTGGAAATTTCTTTGAATTTTGAAGAATAAATTTGAAGAAGTTCCCAATTATATTTCATATTTAAAAAATGCAAGCTGCTATGGTTTTCATTTCACTATACGCCATACAAAGATAAAGTTGTATGTACTTAAAATAATCTTTTTCACTAGCGAAGGTTATGTATCCATCGTGTATACTAGGTTCGCTATCATTAAAAAAATCTCAAACAATAAGTTTGTTAAATATTCGTATTTCATATTTTTCATGAACCCTATGATCGGTAGTCACAAACCCTACAGTTTACATATCACATCAAATAATCCTAACAATCCATCTCCCTCAATTACAAGAAGATCAGATCTGATAGTCATCCAATAAGCTGGCTTCAGTCGGATCTCTGTGTTCTCATACTTTAAGCCCCAAGTTCGAGGATCATCGATCAAATAACTTCATATTACGTTCGCTTCAAGTTTCATCCGTCTGTCAGCTAAAGTTGAGGGAACTTTTACAAATATGCTACATACTGTCTTACACACATTTGTTCTAACTAAATTATGTTTGTGTGCGACTTTTGTAATGGCATTTGTCTTCTAGGCTATGTGAGAACTAAGTGCTAAAGCTGAAAACGTATTACTGAAATGTGATGCGAACCGGTTTAATGCTAGGAATGTGTTTGATCTCCTCTTGTTGGTTTTGTCTCTTTCAATTACGCCTTCTGTGATAGTTTACAAAGAGCTGCAGATGGAACTCATTGGCGTAACTAGGCAGTCAGAAAAGTCAGAAACGAAAGGTCGGCACGAATAGATCGACTCGACCGGAGTGATACTACCTCACAGGAAAATAAAACAACCATAGTGTTGTGTTACACCGTGTTTGTGAGGTTAACAGAGGCCCAATACCTAAACCCCGGAACCCTAATCCACACAACGCCGGCAATGCACACGTAATTCGTCCCGGGTGTTGCGGATGTCTATAGGCGGTGTCATTTGCGTATCATTAGGTTATTCGTAAGCTTCGTACTATACTTCATTCTATTTAAAATAACTAATAAATTAATAGCAAAACATTTACCAAATTGAATCCCGAAATAGGAAAAGCATTGATAATCTACTAGCCTTAGAGTTCAAAGTTGTATTTATCAATATAGCTCCTTCGAAATTATACGTAAATAAAAAATTAGAGTAGACCTATCTATCTATGTATGTTGGTACTTTTGTCAGCACCTCTAAGAATAACAAATATATTTTATCTTTTTGTCGTCAATGATACTCAATACTAACGAAGTCACAGAAACACACTTGACTTACATTTCTCAATATCTAGTAGATATTCTACTTACCGGTGACAATGTACCGCACGGGAAAGAACTACCTAACGAATCGTATCAAACACCATTAAATATATCATCTATCAAGTTTCTCAGCAAATAAAATACTGTATTTGTATGTTTATTTTGCTGGTTACACTACCTCATTGGTTCTAGGGAAGTGCGTCTGCTTAGTATGAAATTCTAAGTTTCATTTAGATAGTACTAGGTTTTACCTGCGACTTAGTTCGCGTGGAATAGTGACTTCCTGCAGATTTCTGGTTTAAAAAATATACTATGTCCTTTCTCGAGTTCCAAACGATGTCTGTACCAAATTCACTCAAATAGATTCAGTAGTTTCGGCGTTAACAAAAGACAGACAGACAGAGTTACTTTCGCATTTATAATATTAGCTTGGATTAAACGTGTAAACCTATACTAAACCGTATATTGAACTACTCGTTTATGTAAGGGGAAATTTATAAAAACACTTCTGTCACCCAGGGAGAGGCGAGAGGGAGTGTCAGGCTCTTACTGACTAAAAACGCCCCCGTTCCTTCTCCTGCTTTAGGTCGAGGTCGTAGAACCTTACCGCGCTAGCCCCGCAACCCTGGCTGAACATCGGCCCTGTAAGGCCCCGTCTGTGGTGATATATTAGCTACTAAACTATGTATAATATTCATGTAGGTACATTTTAATGGAAACGTCGTGATGGCCCAAAGATAAAGGCGCCTCGGCCTCTCATGCATCAGCGAAACTTGACAATTACCAATGTGACTTTGTCCCAGGTATAAGTATTTTCTCGGATTTATTTAGACATCACTGTTATACGGAGAAGGAAAACATCGTGAGGAAACCTGAACTTATAATTTCTAATTATTACAAGTTCGCCATCCGCCTTGAGCAAGCGTCATGACTAATCAAACCTTCTCCGCATGAGAAGAGGCCTTTGCTAGTGGACACTTATAGGCTGATGATGATGATATCACATTTCAATGCTGAAGCTACACTTGAATTCAAATTCCTAAAAGTGATATTATTATTGGATTTAACTCCTTTGTTTTTATAATTTTCGTTTATATTTCGATACGTTACGTTAAGTATACATAATATGAATTAATTGTTGATAATAAATATAAGTACAGGTTATGGTCTTTGCATTAAATAAGATTGTTAAAAGAAACGTTTTGTTCTCGCTAAGCGACATTTAAAATCATTGAAGGTACTTTTAACAATGGCAATAGAAATTCAAAATGCCGTCAAAGGCACAAAGATCAACACAAAATCTCCAACAAAACCCTTTGTCGAAGACTAATGAAAAATAAAATCATGGCTTTAATATTTTACGTAGCACCCTAAAGAACAAGGCAGGGCTTCCATCGATGGTATTGGCAATTAGCATGATAATTTATGCCATTAAAGTTCTTTGAGCACCCTGTATAGGAAGCTGCAATTTTGAAGGCTTACTGAAGAGGTTATCGTTGGCTGTTGGATGGAAATCCACAAATAAATACATAGCCTTAATGAATGAGACTTAATGATTTGACTTCACGGTTGGTGCGGTGGCTGGGCAACTGCCTGCCGTGCAACGTGTCGCGGGTTCGATTTCAGCACAGAACAACTCTTTGTGTGATCCACAAATTGTTGTTCAGGGTCTGGGTGTGTTTTGTATGTGAAATTGTATGTTTGTAACAGCACCCACGACTCAGGAGAAAATCCTAATTTGGGGCAACGTTTTTAAAAAAGAAAAATTATTTCTCGGTGTGGTAAACTCAAAGGTAGTTATTATTGCGAGTGTGTAATATACCTAGACTAATATTATAAAGAGTGCTATAGGCTATAAACCATCACGCTACGATCATTGTAGCTATCTATCAGTGAAAGAATTTTGACAATCCAAACAGCGGCTCCAAAGATTACCCCCTAAATACAAACTCACAAACATACAAGTATGGGATTTAACATAAAAAAACACAAACTTACAAATTTTACCTCTTTATAATATTAGTATAGATAAAGCTTAGAATGTACTCCTTCATAAAAGGGCGGCAACACGCCTGTGACTCTTCTGATGTTCCAAGGACGGGGTTGATCACTTACCGAGCATCGAGCGAATTGTGAAACTTGTTGAAAAAGAGTAACCATGAAGTCTTGCTCGTTCTTCTCAGCAAGAATCTTCACTTTGGAACGAGCAAACCGACACAGACTGACACACAAAGTGAAACTTTTTGATATTAATTATTTTTGTTTGAGGTTCAAAAGTAAGGCTATATGTAGATTTGACTTGGATTTTTTGATACGTCTGCTCGTTTACCTCGTATTACATGAAAAAAGCTGAAGAGTTGTTCTTTTGATCGCGATTTTCTTTGGAACTACTTGTACGAATATAATAGAACAATAACTTTGTATTTAATATCATTACCAAAACGATTTAGTGAAAAAATAAGAGCATAAAACATGCAAACATGCTACGACATATAAGCTAGTGTATAGGTAATAAATTTACATACGTGCATAATTACACTGATCTTGAAATAGAAATACGCTAATAGGTACTTTCGAGTAATAAAAAAAAATCTTGTGTCAGAATACACAGGCATAAGGAGCAATCCTTTGACGCAGACACAGAAACATTCTCAAACTCTTATGAAGTCTTCAATTAACCAAGAATTCATCATCATCATCATCATCATCATCTGCCTATAAGTGCCCACTGCTGAGCAAAGGCCTGTTCTCATACGGAGAAGGTTATAGGTATAAGTCCAGGTTTCCTCACGATGTTTTCCTTCACCGTATGTCAGTGGTGTCTAAATAATCATAGAAAGTACATATAACTCGGAAATAGTCACATTGGTACTTGCCAGGTTTCGAACCCACACCCTCATGCATGAGAAACGGGTTCCTTAACCTCCGGGCCACCACGACGCTCCACAACCAAGAATTAATGTAAACAAACTCAATAATACAAAGACCTCTTACTGTCCAAGAACAAACACTATTATCATTACACAAACTACAAAGTCCTTTGGGACGGATTTTAATCAAACAGTTTCAAGCCAAAACTATTCACACGCCATAGACTGTAATTGAAAGGAAATTGAAGAATCCCTACAAAGTACACGAACAGGAGCAGTAAAACAATATTTATGGAAGTCCTGCCGACTTCTTATATCCGTCCATTTCCCGTTCAGACGGCTGGCGTGGTGTGAACTGACCCTAACTAGCTTCCGGACTGGGAGGGAGTGTATGCTACCTTGTTATATTTGGTAGATTATTGTTTGTTTTGATAAACTATCCTATGGGTCATACATGCACATATTTTCTTCTGTGTCGTGGGTTCGTTTAAAAAGACAACTAGCCTAGTAACAAATTTATATACTTAAAACTTTCACCTGGTTCTGGCTCGCGACAGACGTTGTACAGCAGCCAGTTCCAATTGGGTACAATTCCATTTTGGTTCTACATATATCCTTTGTCTGTGCAAATTGGTTATTATATTCGGTCAAAAATAAATTGTTTTAAATTTTAGTACGATTGAATTATGGACGATAATCGTATTTTACTTTTAGGGTGACGTGACGTGATTTTGGACGTTATGTAGCGAATTAAAAAAATGCGTTTTGATGCAAAAATATGTAATACCTATTATTATAATAACTGCACAAATCAGTGACTTATACAAAATCCACAGAAGAGTACTTACATATAGTTTTTGTAAAGTAATAAATTTAAACAGTTCTCAGATACCGTATTCTTAAGTCTTAAGCAACAGATTCTACATAATTTGTATACTTAATATAGAATATAAATTTTCGATTTGTCAACATCCCAACTAAAACACACAGAAACAATGTCCCACTTGTAAATCTTTTTAAATAACTCCAGAAACTTTATTTTATGTGGCATCACGACAGTCTTCGATATACGATTCTATTGGCTTTTGGCAACGAAGTCGGCTCGATAATATTTCTAGACATATCCCCCTCGCGAGTCTCAACGCCTGGCCAACTTGAATCGCTGCAGGCGCTTAAAAGAAACTTATTGCTATAACAATTCTGTTAGGCGTTTCCATAATGACTTGAAGTGCACAACAAAATTGATGTATAAAAGTATTGTGATTGTGATAGTCCGCCATTTTGAAACTCGTTAAATATTTGGAATTAAATTAATCTTGTATCACTGCTTACCTTTGTAACACAGTTATTTTAGGTTGTAAATTGTATAGGGGGTTTCACTGGTAAGATACTCCATTTGCATGTACCTACTTTAAATTTTTACACTTAAAGCCCTTAGTATACCTTGAACCGTAACTACCATCACACCTATTAATTCGTGGAGGTTAAGATGAAGGTATATATGTATCACTACATGGTAAAAAACAAAGTCGCTTTCTTTGTCCCTATATCCCTATGTATGCTTATATCTTAAAACAACGGTTTTTTGATAGATAGACTGATTGAAGAGGATCGTTTACATATACACCAACCTCGATAATAACGGCATTTTTCACCAAACTGAACCACACCAAGTGAACGCCGGCGTCCGCATACATATTGTTCTTCTTCTTCTATTCTGTGTCGAAATACCACAATTGAAGTTCCCTGTGTAAAACCGGGGCGAGTCGACGACGGATACAATATAACAATCACTTATCCAAAGTTTATGTATGCATCATCATCATCATCAGCCTATAAGTGCCCACTGCTGAGCAAAGGCCTCTTCTCATACAGAGAAGGTTAGAGCATTAATCACCACGCTTGCTCAATGCAGGTTGGCGATTTCAAACTTATAATTACAAATAATAAATCCATGTTTCTTCACGATATTAACTTTCACCGTAAGTCAGTGGTGTCTAAATAATCATAGAAAGTACCATATACATAACTCGGGAAAGTCACATTAGTACTTGCCAGGTTTCGAACCCACACCCTCATGCATGAGAAGTGGTCTCCTTAACCAGTTATACATAAAAAACCCTAATACTGGATAAGTCGAAGGTATGAGTGAGTATTTTATCTTGGAAAGGTGAGAAAACACAAATTTAAGTCTTATAACATTTAAAACTTCGAACTATAAACATTATTGCAATAAGGTTTTTTTTTAACACGGAACTTATAAAATTAATAGCGTAACTCATCTTTACTTGTTTAAGGTCAAGAGGTCACGTCGAAACTTATTACACAGTTAATTAAACTCCACAGAGACCCGTCAATGGACAATACTTTACTGTTAATTACAACAGTTTTATGTCTCGACACTAAATTAGAAGGATAGTGTGTATCTCAAACTAGCTCTGGTACGTGGTCTTTGCTATTTCGTATCACGTCGTGGTTGCCCAGGGAACCTCATACATGAGAGTGCCATTCGAATACTCTCACTAGTACCAATATGACGTTTCTCGAATTATAATACTATGCCTCACAGAAAACCGGCGTGAAACAACCACACCGTTGTGTTTCGCTGTGTGAGTGAGGTTACCGGAGGCCCAATACTTCCCCAACCCCAATCCCTCCTAAATCCCTAAATCTCCTAATCCCTAATCCCTAAAAGGTCGGCAACGCACTCGTAAATCCTCCGGTGCGGGTGTCCATGGGCGGCGCTGATTACTTACCATCAGGTAATCCGTCTACTCGTTTGCCGATCTATTACATAAAAAAAAAACATAGACACCAAATGACACTGGACTTGCGATGAAAGTTACTGCTCTGAAGCTCTGTCCATACAATACATTATTCCAGGTTCCAAACTTCACAATCCTAAAAATGTTTTCCTGACCCGAAAACCAGCCGCGAAACTTGTCCAGGTATCAATCTCATCACTAACTACTAAGTATTTGCAGAGATTAGCGCGTCCAATGAAACAAATAGACAGACAGACAAACAAACAAACATCAAGGTTTTTATTATTACTGTTTGTATACATAGATTTCGTAATGTCTGTCAGTTCTACGAAGCGGTCGTTGACTTGCGCCCTTTAAGACGCAGTAAGTCATTTGACGTTTTCTCTTAGAAGAAACATGTTTGATTATTTATTGCTGCTTTTAAGCTAAACAATACCAAATTATTATTTAATAATGATTCAAGGTTTTTGGTTGATTAGACCTTCGATCAATTATAAGGATTTGACCTGGTTGCAGGGGGTTGAAATAGGAACAGGGGCTTTTTATTGAGTGGGAAAAAGAAAGAGCAATTGTCAGTCTCTTGTTAACTAAAAAGCACTCGTTCCTTCTCCAGTGGGTCACGCTGTCTAATTTTTAGAGCTCGATCACGAGTTTGAACCTTAATATCAGGACAAGCAAGGGATTAGGCCTCAGGTAACCTCACTCACACGGCGAAACACAACCCCGTGGTTGTCACGTCGGTTTTCTGTGAGGCCGTGGTTTACTCTGGTCGAGTCAATCCATTCGCGCCGCAGCTTGGCTCTCCCACACTAATAATAACCCTCTAAAAATACCCTATCTAATGTTTAGAAAGTGATTTATATTTGTGATATTATAGCCAGACCATCACAAAGTTTTATTTACAAATAGATACATAGAGAGATCTCCATAGATTTCTGTTACCCGGTTCTTTTCAACAGCACTGATAATGAACAGTTACTAGCCATCTACAAGTCTTTGCTTAAATAAGCTATCTATATAAATAGCAGTGTTTGAATCTATAATATTGACTTGAATTCAAATTTCGTCACATACTATTATTAATACAAACGTATTACTAAACAAAAATAGAACTAGCTGCTGTGTGAACCTGTATTATATTGCTTGTGATTAAACAAATGATATCGATGCCGTTATTGAAAGGAAGAAGAAAAAAAAAGAAAGGGTAATATTATGTTTAAAAAGTTTTGATCCATCGCATTTCGCTGTAAATAGCCTTTTATGTGGATGGACAATAATCAAATGATTACTCTCGCCCAGGGCAAGAGGTTATCTCAGACTCTTCATCATCTTCATCAGCCTATAAATGCCCACTGCTGAGCAAAGGCCTCTCCCCACAAGGATAAGGTTTGAGCATTAATCACCATGCTTGCTGAAGGCAGATTAGCGATTTCAAACTTATAATTAGAAATTTTAAGTCCAGGCTTCCTCACGATGTTTTCCTTCACCGTTTGTCAGTGGTCTCTAAATAATCATAGAAAGTACATATAACTTGAAAAAGTCACATTGGTTCTTGCCGGCTTTCGAACCCCTCATGCATGAGGCGCGTGTGCTTCAACCTCTGGGCAACGACGTTTACGTCAGACTCTTACTGACTTAAAACCCCCCGTTCCTTCTCCTGCTTCGGGCCGAGGCTGCGTATTTTAGAGTACCCTGGCAGAAGTATCCAGCTGCCTCTCCCTTTTTAATTTCAGCAATCTCCGTAGCAAGCATTTTTGACGACGGTCACAGACTAGAGAATCAATCTCACTTCTACCTTCGAAATAAAATATAGTTGTGTGAAGTCATTTGTTCTGAATTTGTCCAAGACCTTGCCTTCTGACACTTCCAATCAACTTTGAGACCCAAAAAAATATTATTTTATGTTTATTTCCTTATCTTTATACTATAAACATAGTTATGTTGTATTCGTGTGTAAATGTGTGTCGCATAGTACGTGTTTTGACACGCATAAATGCGATTTTGGTTAGTGAATATATGACCGTGTTATGCTCGGATGACATTAAAACTGTAATGAAAACCCTTAATTGCGTATATAGAAAATTCCAAGCATATCCCTTTCGTGAAGATAAATTGAAGTTTAAAAATAATTCGATATAAACCCAGTTTGATATTTATCACGCCTTTGTCGCATAGAGTTTTTTTATTTATTTATTTCTACATATTACTTTGCCATTACAGGTAACTTAACCTAATTCGACATAGTAACTTAAGATATGTTTCCTAAACCTTTGACCATAAACTTTAACTATAATATACTTATTTAACTTTAAATTACCTACAAACTATATTTCCTTATATACTACACAGTTTGCTTTTATCGGCAGAAACTGTAATTACCATTGACTATGTTTCAATGTTGTGTATGCCACTGACTGTGTTTCTCACAATACTTCGTCAGCTTTCATCAAATTTATGTATCAAGTCACACAAGTAGACAAGTCTACAATAAATTGATTCACCTCGCACAAAGTTCGGCGAATAACTATAGTCATTCTTTAATTCTACATAAAAACAACACAATACTTCTTTTATTTATAATAATTATTTATCTTAAAACGTTGATAATAATGTCAAAGAGCGCTGGCCGAAGAATTTTACGCATTTTTTAACAGATAAGTTAAAACCGCATTAGTTTTAAGACATATTTCGTCCATAGTGCCAGTTCGTGTAATTAAATCGGTTTTAAAAATGTCTAACATTTGGACCAAATTGGTTTTGTTATCTATTTTCAATTTTAGTGGATCTGTGAGTATTTTTTTTTTTTGTAAGTGATTGCTTATGTTTTATTATTTTCTTTCCTATGTGTGGTAGTTTCAACTTTCAAATATATTGTCCTTGAGTTTCCAATCAGATAATATTGTAGTCTTGGGATGATAAGTTTATCTATACTAATATTATAAAGAGGTAAAATTTGTACGTTTGTAAGTTTGTATGTAGGGAGTAGTAATCTTTGGAACCGCTGGTCGGATTGCCAAAATTGTTTTACTGATAGATAGCTACAATATTCCTGAGTGCCATAGGCTATAGCTAACATCATGCTACGATTAAATCGAGCCGAGAGTAGCTAGTATTCAATAGTTTTACTGCATGGTTGATATGGTAGCTAGGCAACTGACATGTCGAGGGTTCAGTTCCGCATGGAACAACCATATTTTGTGTGATCAACCATGTGTTTGTCTAAATGTGATGTGTGTGTGAAATTGTATGTCTGTAAACGCATCGATAACACAGAAAAAAAAACAATTTGTTAGCTACAATAGTGTCCATTTTATAAATAGCTACTTAGTCTGTCTTGATTGGTGTGACTCAATAACTTAATTAAGAAAATAAACAGTATAAAGCTAATTTTCGTACAACACACATATTTACAAATTCTTTGCGTGTTATATTGGCGACCCATTTAAATTCAATGATCCTAATCCGCAGACCACTAACAGTTAAGAACCAAAATGATGAATTCTGATCCTGAAAACTACAACCACTAAAGTATGCAAGATGGAAGTATATTTGTTAGCTTTTCACTAAAAAAATATTGAACAGATTTGGCACAGATATAATTAATAATCTAAAGTAACAGGTTTGATAAAAACTAGTATTACCTAGGTGCACCGAAATATCCTTCTCAGATTTGTATAAAACTAGCTACTCTTGCGCGGTTTCACTCGCTGCTGGGCTCCATTTAATTGTAGCGTGATGTTTTATAGCCTATTGCACACAGAAACCTTGTAGCTACCTATCAGTGAAAGAATTTTGGAAATCCGGTAAGCGGTTCTAAAGTTTACCCCCTACATACAAACTTAATTTTACCTCGTATTAGTATAGATTACAATCTTGTATAGTAAGATCAGAATACAGAAGTTTCTGAATCAGATAGACGCAGTATACTGCAAATTGGACCCGTGTGCTTGTGGCTTCTGCCAATAAATCCAAACAGACCGGTTCCAGGGAAACAGATCAAAGATAAACTATCATAAATAAAGCTGTATTTGTGACGTCATATTGTATATCGTGGTAGTAGGAGTTAAGAGTTACAAAGGGTTTTAGACATGTTGTACCTACTTCGAAAAATGAAAGTGTACAATTTAGTTTCTTAACAATTTTAACACAAGGTAATCTCTAAATGAAGGCACGTTTAAGAACTTGAAAGCATGCATGGAAAAGAAAGTTTCGTTCTCAAAATGGTTAAAACAAAACTTGTTATTAGACACGACCGACCATCCTGGAGCAGGAGAATGAACGGGGTGGTTAGTAACAATGCCCCATCCAGAGCGAGAAAAGTAATTTGATGATATTCAAGGCACACAGAAATACAGAAATTAAACGTTACGCCAGGGCTTATATATCTTCACATTACAAAAAACTATCTGTCGGCCGAAATTTTACACAACAGATTTCAGAGTGCCAGGTTTTACAAAATATTCAAAAACATTATCAGACATTATTTCGACAAAAGAGGAAGACACCGAAACATCACTCTTCAAAAAAATTTTAACTTATTGTTACTGCTCAAATTCCAGTTAACCACATCATTCGATGTTCGTGCACTGGTAAACGGGAACCGCATGGGTGGTGTACCTCTGGGCTTGTCTCTTGGAGCCGGCGAGCTGGACGTGGAGGGTATCTGCACAAGACCTGGCATGGCTTGCCAGAACTGCAGTCATGCGGTCACTTGTGTCCCCCTCCCTGTTGGGTGGTTGAAAGTGAGTACAATATTATTTCTATGATTTACGACGGCTAAGCAAAGGATTTGAGTCGATTGCTAATACTGCCATAATATTTATAAGCTTCTGAAGTTTGCAGCAGGCCTACCCCTTACTAGTTTTGTCATTGAATTTTCGAATTGATATCAAAACAATAAGGTTGAAAATGTAGAAACAAATATGACCGAATAGACTATTCTGACCTGCTGAGTGTATAAATATTAGCGTAGACACTGGCGTCAGTGCGCAACAAATGTGCCTCTTGTAATTATTTTGATTTCCATAAACATGCATGCATGCAACTTATTTTAAATCCATTTTTAAAGATTTTACCCTTTTTAAAAATAATTCCAGGTTCCCTTGCAAGAATGCAATGAAGGGTTAACATGCAACGCCCACCAGGGTCAATGTTCACCAGATCCCGCCCCAGAATGCAGTGGGCCTGCCCAAGTGTTTGTGCATACTTGTGAACAGGTAACTAAACTTTTTTGTCTTAAGAAAAAAGAAAAAACTAAACTCAAACTCTTCATTTTTATAACTTTAATTGGGCCAAAATAAATGTTATCTTCAGAATCATTCAAAAAAATCATCAAAAAGCGGTTTAGGAAAAAAGTGCGATAAACACTAAAAGCGAATATATTTTATGTCTGTTTGTTTTTTAAGGAATAAGTCGGCAAACAAGTGGACTTATTACCTGAAGGTAATCAATTGAAGCCGCCTATGGGCCCCTGCAACACCAAAGGTTATGAGAGCGTCCCCGGCCCTTTGGGGATAAAGGTTGCGGGTATTTAATTATTTGTAAGGGATAGGGGAGAGGAAGAGATTAGAGATTAGGCCTCCGGTATTCTCAGTCACACGGTGAAACACAACGCTGTGGTGGTTTGACACCCGTTTTCTGTGAGACCGTGGTATCAGTCTGACAAATTTTAATTCGTGCCGAACTTGGCTCTCCCACACTTACTTAACTAATATAAAAAAAAACAGGCGAGCTGATTTGAAGCGGCGTTTGAACTGAATAATCTGGCAGTCTATGAAAAAGCTTAAGTTGTTAAGCTAATGATATTAATGATGATGACGATTTAATAAATAACCAAAATTTGTCTTGATGAACATTCACATCGGACTACCATTGTATGTGACGGCTAAAAGGGAAATTATTTTAATTTTCAGTCAATAACTACATATACTACACTAACTAAAGATAAATGTTTACTATTTGTAACTTTGTGAATATATTTTTGCAGGTGGGAATATTCCCAGATGCCTATGACTGCAGAAAGTTCCATCTCTGCTCGCCACCTGAAGGCTTGCCTGATGGTAGACCCGCAGACCATAGAGCAGCTCTCTGTCCCAGACATTATGGATATAATCCTGCTACTGCTCAGTGCTCGGTAAATATTGACCACGTTGTTCTGTCTAATTTATAGATTAATTCACATAATCAATAGTTTTTTTAAACCTGTGAATTGATGTCCCACCTAAGTTATTAGAGCGGATATGGAAATGATGAAACAGACCTCTATTCTAATATGTGTTGTTAGATTCATTTTTATTTTACAGGTGTACCTAAAAACTATTTGCATTGAAACTTTAAATAAACGCTAGACTTTTCCTTATAGATTCAACTAGAACACAGCCAGTGCTCAGAAAAACCAGTTCCTGAATGCAAAGTTATTGGCCAGCATGGAGTCCTACCATTAAGTTCCAACCATTACTACGTTTGCCTCATAAAAAACGGAGTCCTCCACCCTCAAGTTTTCATCTGTCCACACGGCTGGCACTTCTGGGGAGAATTCTGTCAACCAGAACCTGAAAAGAAACCAACAAATGCCGTTCCAGATGAAACAGTAAAAATAGAACAAACTACAGAAGATAAAATACCAGAAGTGGAAGAAAAAGAAACTACCACAGAAGACACTGCTACTGTTGAAGCTACAACTACAAAAATAGATAGTTTCTTCTCCACTGAGAGAACAGCTACATATGCTGCTGACACATTCTTAGCTGATAAGATAGATCTAGCTAATTATGAAACTACCGATGATGTGGGAGCTCCAACTAATGACAACTTTGGTTTGTCTATTGAATATGATTGGGAGTAAGCAAAAAGAATTTACACATATAGCCTAAGTAAGACTAGTTGTTAAGAAAATATTGTAAAGGAAAAATATAATATACCATAGTTTAATTTTGTGTATATTAATTTTACTTATACATTAACCACTACGATGTATAAATAAAATGGAATCCCAAATTAAACTAATTCTGGACCTAGTGTGGTAGTGGACCACTGTAAGCAGGTCTATGTTCATAATGACACTCCGATAATAATGTTTCCTGTAGTATTTGAAGTGAGTTAATCAAGATCAAAAAAATAAAAGGACTTAACTGCATTGCTCTTGCAAATATATTCATTATAAAATCACTAGCTCTTCAAAAACAGGGACTAAAATTAAAGCTTCAAGTAAAAGATAATGGCATCAAGTTATCACGGTAAACCCTGACAAGTACAGTTAAACAAAAATCTAATTCTGTCATCGCGTACCACAATAGGACCATCGCGACCGATACCGACCTTTGTACGGTACAAAGACGATGTTATCGCTACCATCTCTGCTGAGGCCCGCTACGTTGTGGGTCAAGCGAGAAGATATGGCGAACAAAGGTACAATGATGTTCATTGTCTCGTGCTGGCCCTTGATTGCGGCTTTGGCAAAGTGGTAGAACTGAGCCTCCGGTCGCTCAAACGTTTGTGAATTCGAACTGTTGAACTGGTCGAGTAAGACAGTTTTGAATTACATGATAATAGGTTACAAGTTAGATTACGTACATATTATAATCTTAAGGGCTTAAGCTAAAAATACTTACCAAAAAACTTCAGGTCCCAAGGTGCGCAGATTCATTGCGGATTGAAATTACTTGTTTCCTAGTTTTTCAATTTAAAAAAAAAATATGTTTACCTGGTATTAATTCCACTTAAACTATGTCCATTAACAGTTTCACCGCCTTTACTACCGTACTACGGTAGTTATGACGTCACTGTTAAACTCCTTATAAGATGTCACCTCAACTATAACGAAAAACATAAAGAATACATAGTTGTCAAACTTCACCAAAGGGCTGACTCTACAGGACCGATAACTTGGCCTCATAGAAAACCGGGGTGTTTGTGATCAATGCGTTGTGATTCACGAGGTTTAAAGGAGGTCCAATTTCCCCCTTCTTTTTTCCAAATATCCATGAATAGCGCTGAACGATTACCACCAGGTGGCCCACCTGCTGGTTGAAAGAGACATTTATGTATGTCTGAATGCACAGATTTCGAATCTAAGAACAATCAATGAACATAATTCATAACACTGAAACTATAGCGTGGCGACTGCCATTCAATGGTTTCACTGGATAATTTCTAATTGCATGTCATTGCATAACAATTGAAATTGTTGTATATCAATTATTGCTTGGCGTTATAAATAACTCACGTCACATAGATTGTGTTTATTCGCGTTGAAATATGAGGTTTGGGTGTCCAAATAGCATTTTTTATGTCACAGCAGACTGATTACCTGGTAGTAAGCTATCAGCACCGCCCTCGCACAATACACCAATAGAGTATACACGAGTGCGTGACCGACCTTTTGATGATTAGGAATACGGAGACTTAGGGATTAGGAGACTTAGGGATTGGGGGAGGGAAAGTATTGGGCCTCCTCTGATAACCTCATTTACAGGGGGCGAATTACAACGCTGAGATTGTGTCACACCGGTTTTCAGTAGGTAAGCTAGCTATATTTTTTTAATATTTATAATCACTCAAAAGAAAAATTGGAAAAATGTTTTGGCAACCATGTATATGTAGGTATCATGTATTCGACAATTAATCTAACAAAAGCCTTTTTTATTCTTAAAATTGTAAGATTTTAGGATAAAAGATAACTTCGACCTATCGAAATAATGTATATCGCAATGACCTAGCTGAATTAGTCATTCAACTGAATAACTAACCTTTTGATTAAGAGCTACATTAAAATCGCTTTTCATACTTGAAGATGCAGGTAACTTTTACCGGTTTGTGAGTATTTTCTTAGATTTTTTAGACACCACTGACATAGGATGAAGGAAAACATCGTGAGCAAAACAGGAATTATAAAATCAAAGTATTCAAAATGAAAAATCACCAATGCAGTTTGCTAAATATGTATTTGCTAATAGCTAGCTTAGTGATTAATGCCCAAAACTCCTCCATGTGAGAAGAGGCCTTCGCCCAGCAATGGGCCTTAGCTAGGCTGATGATGATGATGAGGATATAAAAACATAACAAAACAAAAACAAACAAGCATGCCAGTTTACAGAAAATACATAATACACAGATTTCTTCTTCGAGCAAACGCTTCTGCTTCTAACACAGACCACAAAGGATTCTTACTTTGAAATTAGGCATTGAAAATTAATTCTTTTTATAAAATCTTGCTCTTCATAGATGTCAGACGCATGACCTTTATATAGAACAGTGAATCTGATTAAGAGGAGAATTCATTTTGGAAACCATTATTATAACAAAACGCTATTTAGGTTTATTATTTTCTTTTCATTTAACTAGCTTATTCATGTAGTTGCTTTTTTTAACACCTTCAAAATGTTTTAGGTAACTTAGGCTACATTATCTGATGTTCTGATCGGGATTTACAGAAGGCACAAACTGCTAAATATTAAAACACCTGCTTACTTCATGTCCTAAATCATAAATACTCAAACAAAACCAATAAAGTGAACAATACTATGGAAGCATAAAAACCTCTACCGCTTATAACTTGGACGCCCACACCGCGAAATTAACGGTAAACAAAAAGCTACACCTTTGACATTTGAATGAACTACACACACCGAGCTCATCTTGTCCGCTATCTCTTATGACTAGACCCACGGTTTTCTGCAAAGTTTGATCAACAAAGAAATATAAACCTTTGACATTATGTATGTTGGAATTTTGTGCGTAATAAAATGACGGTGTAACTGTTGTAATTGTAATATTAACGTGTTAGCTGTCTGTGTTTATTGTAAGTTGGTATGTATGTAATAGGTCTTTACAAATGAAATTGCCGTTTTTTATGAAAAAATTTAAACGATTTTTTTGATTTGAAATGCGATGAAAATGTAACACTAATCAATAAACAAATGACTACTTTTGGAAAAAGAATCCCATGTTTTTAAAACAAAATTAATTAGCCTTAGCCTAACAAAAACTATTTTGATTTCAAATGGCCAGTACTGCAGAACGGCAATTTCATAGGTAAAGACCTATTATATACGAGTACGTTCGTACCATCTTGAACGTACTGTTTTGAGGTAACACGAAGAGTTCAAAAAATGTTACGATTGAACTGTACCGTGATGTAGATGTGACATTTTTTTTTACATTTGCCTTATGTTATGAGATGTACGTAATATGTGCCTTGGTACGTACTTAGTGACCTTTAATGACTAGGTACTTAGACTATATCTAAATTACGATATTGTTCCGAATGCAATAGCTATAATAATAAATGAGTTAATGAACCATTAGTTATACTGAACAAGTCTAAGTACTGTTTTTTGTGATAGGACAGCATACGACGGCAACACCAGAAAAATCGCGAGTGCGTTGCCACAACGTGAAACAACCACTGCATTGTGTTTCGCCGTGTGAGTAAGGTTACCGGAGGCCAAATCCTTCTCTCCCCCAATCCCTCCTCAATCCCTAAATCTCCAAATCCCTAATCCCTAATTTGTATTTGCCATCAGGTAATCCGTCTGCTCATTTGGCGATCGTTTACATAAAAAATAGTGGCTAGTGTAAATAATAATTCTCAACACACTTCCTCTTAAAGTAGCTCTAATCCCATGGCAATTCCCCCATAATAACACCTATTAATCACTCTGTAACTTTTTCATTACTATTATTTACTAGTGAGTAATAGAGCTTTTTTTTAATTATCGAGTTACGCTAACACTTGTGCTAAAATGCTATCCGCGAAATGTCGAAAAAAAGAAACCTCGTTTTTTTATCTATGGCCGATGCGTGCGCTTAGGAAAACTGATGATTTTTTCCCGCCATTACGAAACATTTTTCATAAGTCACCTCGTTTTCTCATTTAAAGTAATTTATAGTCAGAATTTTAATTCGATTCCTGATTTGACATGACCTATTGTCATTTTGTGAAATAATGATACCACATATAACAGTGTAGTGATGAACACAAAAATCGATAAATGTTATATTGAGTAACAAAATGAGTATTTATGTTTTGTCTGTGAACCTGTTTGACGCTTGTCAAAAGAAAAGAAAAATATATATATATATATGTCATTAACCGAAAGTGCGTGTATTAATGGTTATGGGCTAATATCCTGATTTTCTTAAGTAATTCTTGTGTTACGGTTTAAGAAAAACGCTGAACTTTCGTGAATAATGGCTATGAATTATTTACAAAGTGTTCCCAAACTGAAGGGAAGGGAAAATTATGATGAGTGGAGTTTCGCAGCAGAGAACTTGTTAATGCTGGAAGGTATGATTCAATACATCAAACCAGCTGTGTCCAGCACGGATATCAAGTCTGCAGATGACGAAAGGACTAAGGCAAAGCTAATTTTAACCATCGATTCAGGACTGTATGTTCATATCAAGGAAACAAAAACCTCGTTGGAACTATGGACAAAATTGAAAAACATGTTCGCCGACTCCGGTTTTTCAAGAAAAATCTCTTTGCTGCGACATCTTATATCAATCAGGCAAGAAAGCTGTGATTCTATGACTCATTATGTCACGCAAGTTGTCGAGACAGCACAAAGATTAAAAGGTACCGGATTCGCTATAACAGATGAATGGATTGGTTCGCTATTATTAGCAGGGTTGCCAGAAAAGTATTCGCCAATGATCATGGCGATAGAACATTCGGGAATACAGATTACTACAGACTCAATAAAATCAAAACTTATTGATTTGGAAGTTTCTTTGAATTTGGAAAACGGTGGCGCTGCATTCGCTGCAAACAAAATGTACTCGAAGACACAGAACAATTCGAAAAAAAGTGGCTGTCAACAACAAGCAACAAAAATGGCTTCAAAACAGCAGTCAAAAAAAGTGGTTTCGTGTTACAAATGTAAAGAAATTGGACATTTTAGAAACCAATGTCCGT